TTTTAAAAGATAATATCTTGCTCTGTTTACACCCAATAGCTATTTTTACATCTGTGAATGTGCACTCATATCATTGTCAGAGAAATGGACAAAGAACGCAACAACTGGGGCATTGGTGGTGGATGCAGATTTGAGGCAGATGTGAAAAAGTGGGAAATCATCTTTAAAGTTGGTCTTTTGTGTGTATTTTTATTTAGATATTTATACCCTGATTTTCTTCCCAGTGCAGACACAAAGTGGCTTCCAGCCCACCTTTCCCTTCTTCTGTTTTATCCTCACAAGAACCCTGTGAAGTGAGTTAGGCTGAGAAAAATGTCTGGCCCAAGGTCACCCAGTAAACATTCATCAGTGAAGGATTCAAACCCAGATCTCCCGGATCCTAATCTGACACTAAACATGCTGGCTTTCAGAAGAGCTAGCCAGTATGGAGGTTAAAAGCAGCACACTGATGCTGTGATAACATCAGCTAGATCACAGATGGCCATGCTAACATCTAAATATGACACAAACTGTACCCTGACCTGGATAGCCCAGGCAAGCTCAATCTTGTCAGATCTCAGAAGCTAAGCAGGGTCAACTCTGGCAAGTACTTGGATGGGAGACCTCCTTGGAATATCAGAAGTTGGGAGGTTGGGGCAGGCTTTATTCAGCCACCTCTCTGAATATCTTGCAGGTGCCCAGTAGGGGTCAGTCACCAGAGGTCGCCATGACTTCCAGGTGCACACACCCGCACTCACATGCATGTGCACACACACATGCACATATAAAAAAATACCAAAATGACACAAACTGCTAATTTCTGAGTCCCTAGTGGAGACTCGCTGTAATTGCTAGCTCAGTGATAGAACACCTGCTTTCCAGGTCCAGTCTTCAGGAACTCTAGCTAAAAGGCTCTCAGGATTGGGAGAGACCTTTGCTTGAAATCCTGGAGAGTCTAAACTGCCAGTCAGAAGAAATAATACTGGGCTAGATGATGAGCCTGTAATTAATTAATTAATTATCAAATGGCATTGTGTGTGGTATAGCTAGGAGATCCTAAGATTATCTGGCAGCCTTTAGCTCTTTTATTGGCAAGCTAGACTTATTTTTGGACTGTAGGGGAATGCAGATTTGAACTCGGTGCTCCAGATTAGAGTCCGTCACTCTTAACCACTATACCACACTGTCTCCCTTAAATGAGGTACATGGCCCTTTCCTGGCCAGGAATTGAATCCAGGCCACAGTGGTGAGAGCACTGAATCCTGACCACTAGATCACTAGCCCGTGGTCTGACATTGTGTGACACCCATTACAGGCAATTGCCACAAATGGCAGAGGCAGGGTAAGGGGCTGGCAACCCCTGAAGGAACAAGCACACATTCAGAACATCACTGCTGCTTGCCTCTCTAGCACTGCTCTGCTGTCTACTCCTTGGCTCTGTGGTCTAGAGGGAAAGACACCAAAGGCAAGGGAGACAGAGTATGTATTTTATGCTTTGGGCCTGACCTGTGGCACAGTTTGGCCACAACTGGGCTAGATTATAAGAATCAGGATTTTGGTTTTCCACTACCTCATAGAAAATGAGCTGACTAAATTTGAGTCAAGAGCAGCTGAAGCAACCCAGAAAGAAATGAAAATAAAATGAGGGGACACAAAGAAGCAGAAGACAGGTGCCAGCTGAATACTGTTGCTGCTGGATTACCCCACAGAGAATCCATGGCCCTCTTAAACAAGCAGAGACAGTGGCAGTGATGAGCCCACCACTCTCCTTTCCAGAATGCTGTAGTAGTTTTTCCCTATAGCAAGCCGGGGAGGGGAAAAGTGAGTGAGCAGACTGGTGAGAATCAGGGCAGGAAGCATTGTGCTGGCAGACACACACACTCTCCTCCCCTAGAACATTTAAAGGCAGAATATTCCTGGTTTCAATCCATAACTGAATTACAGCTCCTCAAATGAAGACCTTGTTGGGGGGGGGGGTTACGGAGTAAGGAATGCTCACTAGTTCTTCGATAAAATAGTGCACCTATATTTTTCAGCTGGGGCCGAGACTATAGCCTTAATTCTGTAAAAGCCTAGCCAATATCAGGAATCTCCATCTTGGCAAGGTGTTGTCCCCTTCTGTTGTAGGAGACTGGAATCTGTCCAAAGCTAATAAAATATATTGTGTGTCTGGGCTGCTGGATTCAGTGTAAAAGTTAGTGTTGGTTTTGTCTGAATGGTTATCACTGTTTCCCTTTAGCAATTAGTTCCAAATCTCTTCATAACAGTGCTCACACTATGTACAGCTTTGAATGCATTTAACCGTGAGTCCTCTGGGGTGAATCAGTATTAGCACTGCTGTTTTATAGAAGGAGGCAGCAGAAGAACAGGAGCTGGAGGAGGTCTCTTAAGACTGTGGTTTTCAAACTGTCTACCTTCAGGGAACTTTTTCCAGATCTACTCCCTGAATGAGGATTTTCTGCGTATGCCACAGAATCCAGGTGCAGCATTTCTTGGGCATGTGTGAGGTCACACACTCAGTTCACAGGGCACATCAGCCAGGCCAGCATTCGGCCTCACGGTCATAGTAAAACCAGCAAGAGCCAGATGCCTCACCATCACCCAAAGTGAACAGAGAATGTGCATAGCTGTGAAACAAACCCAATAATCTTCTACAGCTTCACATTGCAGGGGAAGATCAGTAATGGTGGAAGAGCAGTCTCTCATGGAAGCTTATCTGCCATGATTGATCTTCTTGTTGAGGTATCCCTGATAAGCTTCCAAGGAACTGGAGAGTTCCCTGGAATACACTCTGAGAACCATTCCAATATGAGCAGCATAATTATGTGTTACCTTTGTTTTACCTGACATGTCCTTGACATTGGGTTAGACCCTACATTGCCATTCCATAGGTATAATAGCAATTCTGCATTTCTGTTGGCAGAGGAGGAGAGAGCAAGTTCTTCCAATTCCTCCTCCCATTCTAGATGCCTGCTATGTTCCAGGATGCGGGTGTGTGTCTATGACCTACATGAATACAATGGGGGCACAAAAGGCTACAGTGGGAGGGAGTCAGGGAATTTGCTTTCACCAAGTGTGACTCAGCTGCCACTACTCAGTATTCAAGCCACAGAATCAAAAGCAAGGAAGCTGTTTGGCAACTCCAGTGGGTAGATGGATAATACCTGATACAGTGGCATGTTTAGAAGGTGTTTGCGTGTGTGTGACTTTAAGGCAAAGAAGTACTTCACAATGTGGCGCTGACATACCAGAAGAAGAGGAGGAGGAGGAGATTGGATTTATACCCCACCCTTCACTCAGAGTCTCAGAGCAGCTTACAAACTCCTTTCCCTTCCCCTCCCCACAACAGAGACCCTGTGAGGTAGGTGGGACTGAGAGAGCTCTGACAGAAATTGCTCTTTTTCAAGGACAGCTCTTATCAGAACTATGGCTTGCCCAAGGTCATCCAGCTGCTGCAAGTGGAGGAGTGGGGAATCAAACCCAGTTCTCCCAGGTTAGAGTCTGTGCACTTAACCACTACACCAAACTGAAGGACTGCCTGATATGAACTGATAAGGCAAATAGGTCAGACTAGTATGCTTTTTGCTATAGCAGTTCTATGGTGTTGCAGCTAGGCCCTAGGCTGTTTCACTGACTGAACCCAGCCAGAATAATAATCTTCTGGAGGTGGTTTGAAAGGCACCCTCTGTCACTGTTTTCTCAGGGTGTGCACGACTTTCAGTGATTAGTGGCTGGTCTGGTCTAATTTTTAAAACTGTTTTTGTTGTATATGGTCTTCTTGTTACCCAGGGAACTGGTCTTGGTAATCTTGTATTCCTGAGAAAACTCCAGTCCCCACTTGGAGGCTGGCTGCTGATTTTTATATATAATTAATTGTAAACTTCTCTGAATAGAAGAGAGGACAGAACACTCATTTAAAAATAAATAAATAAAAATTTTCAGGCAGGAAATGGGAAGAAAGAAGCTGTTCTAAACTGGGCTGGCTGGCTGCCATTTTGTTCTCTAAAGCTATGTTAATGTTTGAATTAACTAAAAGTATTTGATTCACAAGCAACAATGTAAATACTGCAAACATGAATGTGTGATGCTATGGAGATAAGCAACAGGTTGTGGGATTTAGATTTCATATAAAAATGTGTCCTTTGGCTGGCTTCAGAGCCACTCATATAACTATGGTTCTGGCACCAAAATCAGGTGTTTTAGCATGGTGTTTTAGTTTTAGCATGGCATTTTAGCATGGTGGTGGCTAATGGCTGTTCACATCTTAAGTTGGAGACAGGTAACAGTTTTTTATAAGACTGAAAGTAATTTGAGAGGGTCCTGTCCCCATGGTGTATGTACACATTTATTCAGGCCTACAATCACTTTTGCTCAAAAAGGTTTTGGAAATTTTTGAAGTAATACAAAAAAGGAGTAATTGGGTTGACCACAAGTAGGCCCATCCCTCATTCAAACTGCTTGTACCTCTCTGGCGGTCTTATTGTCTATCCCTCCCCCAAGCCTAGTGTTCTTTTTCCTCTCCTACCTTCCCTGATGTGAATCCTCTTCTGCTTATACCTTGTCAGGTGTGGTTTCAGAACCGACGGGCAAAATGGAGGAAACGAGAACGGTTTGGTCAAATGCAGCAGGTTCGCACTCACTTTTCCACAGCCTATGAACTGCCATTGCTAACTCGAGCAGAGAACTATGCCCAGGTGAGTTTCTGTCATTATCACGCCAAGAGTTTCTGTCAAACTCCTTTACAGATGCGGATGGGTGCAAATGTTCCGCAAATCCATTTGATGTCTTTACATTTTGCCATAGTGATAGTTATGATATTGAGCCCTGAACATCAAAAATAAAGAGAAGATTGCCTTTACTGACTCTTTAGCCACAAAGATTTATGGAAGTTAAAGAGATTGGGAGAATCCACTACCCAAGTCTCATCACTTTGTTAAGAGTACAAACTTATGTACATTTGGGAATAAGCTTCACTGAACTCTGCTATTTTAGAGCAAGCACACATATAGATGAGCTTCATGAATTCACCTCTGTTGCCAAAAGCACCCTTAGCTCAGATTACTAAACAACTGAAAGGTAACGAATCCTTGCTAAGCAACTGAAAGGTAAAAAGAATGGCCCATAAAAACCTGGTGTCAGGTCTTGCTGCTTTAGACTCTGTCCTCCTCTATATTCTTTGCCTGCTGCATTATAGATTAAAGATTTCCCTGGAAACCTTGGACAGCCTTTGAAGCTTATTATACTTGCCTGGTTCCTGTATGATAAGCTTCTTAATAGGGGGAAGATTCCCTGAAAGACAGATGATTCACCCCATCCAGTCCATGAAAAGTGCCACCACAGGAAAATGTTGAGGGGGAACTGTCACTTTGTACAAGACGACAATTGGTCTAATGTGCTTGGCGGCATAGCAGACAATATTGGCGGAATGGACCAATAGATTGACTTGGTATAAGGCAGTTTTACAGATATTATTTTAAAATAGCCTGTCATTTGCCTCCAGTAATCAACAGAACAGTGCCTCTAACAATGGAGGTTCCTTTTGGCTTGTTACCGATATAGCAATGGACATTAACTATGTTCTATGAATTTGTCTAATTTGCTTTTAAAATGGTCTAAGCTGGTGGTCATCACCACATGCACTGATTAATTCAATATGTTATTGATGCAGTGTGTGAAGTACTCGTTTCTCTATCCTGAGTCTACCCCCCCCCCCGTCAGTTTAATTGGATGATCCTGATTTCAGTTACTGTGTGAGAGAGTAGGGAAAATGAGTTCACACGTTCGTAATCTTGTTACCCCCATCATCTCCCTGACCCATTCATTCATCTTCCTTCTCCCCCCTCCACTTTTGGGGGTGGGGCTGTAGCCCTCATGATCGTTTAGTTTTCCCTTTCTGCACTTTTCCCGGCTATACAATATCCTTTTTAAGACAGAGGCAATCAGAAGGGCACACAATGTTCTAAATGTGTCAGGATCATAAATTTGTAGAATGACATTATGATGCCTGCCGTTTTAGGGCCCGTCTGCCCATACTTTCATCACCTCTGAATGTTGCTATCTAGCCTCCCCCCACTACCTGCCAGAAATGCATAGCTTGCCAGAGGTAAAAGGTCAGAAGTGGAGCCAGAGCAAATGGTGCTGGAAGGCTGTGGAATGCAAGCTGTTCAGAGACCTGCATTTTCCTTTTTTCCATCTGGATCCTCTCTTGTTGCATTCTTTCATCTCGCACTCTCCCCTCTCAACATACCTCCCCTACCTCCAAAGGGCCTCCTGCTGGCAAAGACCATTCCTCACTCTCCTCTGCTGCACTATCATTTTGCCTGCAGCATCCCTCGACAATGTTCTTGTTGAGTGGAACTTGCTGAGCCCTTTCTTTTGTTGTGAGGGCTTTATGCCCTTCTCTCTTTTGTTCAGCAAAATGGGAAGAGGTGGTGGTCACAGTCTGAGATTCATCTCATGTTTATATGCTTTAATAACTCTAAGTCAGTCCCTTCCATCTCCGGGTAAAAGATCCCAAGTAGCAGAGCTAGGAATACTTCTGGATGAGACCTTGCGAAGCTGTTCCTGTTAGGCTAAAGAGATGACTGGCCTGAAGTTAACTTTTGGGGGGCTGCATCCACATATTGTGCTATGGTTGTGCTGTAGCAGTCATTTGCAACTGGACAGTCTTGTCCACAAAGGATAAGCCAGCTGCGAATGCTTGCTGTAGCACAGTGCTAGAGCAATATCCAGTAACTAGGAAAAAGTCCCATTGTGGAAATAAATACAACGGCCTCTAGAAAGAGGCTCTGGGCGGGTGCCCCGGCCTTGGACACTCAGTGTCAATTTGCTGTGGCGACCTCAGTAGGGTATAATGACACTGAGTCCACCATTTTCTCCAGAGGAACTGATCTCTGCTACCTAAAGAACAGTTGTAATTTTGAGTGATCTCCAGCCCTCACCTGGAGATTGGCAATGATGGTTCCCCAGAAGGGAATGGTTGGTTTGGAGGGTGTATGGCTTTGTACCTGTCCGAGGTCCCACGCCTCCTGAAACCTCACCCTCTCCAGGCTCCATCCCTCACATCTCCAGGAATTTCCCACCTGGAGTTGGTAACCCTATCTCCTTCCCAGCCAATCATCAACCTACCTTTATTTCCCCCTCACTCCTCACCTTTCCACCCCCCACACACCTGCAGCCTCTCCTGTGCTCTGAAGCCCTGACTGCTACGTCACATTGACTGTCATAGGGGGGCCACCTCAGCAGCATAGAAACAGAGCCCACCATTTTCTCCAGGGGAACTGATCTCTGCCATCTGGAAAGCAGTTGTAATTCTGAGTGATCTCCAGCCCTCACCTGGAGATTGGACACATTTTACCTCAGAACAGCAAACTGTTTAGAATGTTAGAGGCAAAAGCCAATCAAGTCGCATATGCAAACGACCTCTGTGTTCTGACTGGCTATGGGGGGGAGAGGAACAGCAAACTGTTTAGAATGTTGGAGGCGAGACTCAAGCAAGGCAGCCAGTGGATAGGGACAGATTCTGAGTGACACACCAGGGCATCAACCAATTCCTGAGCGTGTGGAATGTTCTAGAGAAGTGCCACCACCATTCGGCTTTTATATATAAGGGAAATGTGCAAATACAGCTTGGGCGGGGATCACCTTTTCTTTCCCAGCATTGACTACATGGCAGACAATTCAAGAGGTTCAGCCTTCTGTACTACCACCACGTTGGGTTCATTACAGGAGAAAGACAAATTGTAAATATTGTACATTAATCAAGACTCCATTTTGTTCCTGTAGAGAGCTGAAGCATTTGAACTGCTGCTTCCTATGCCTGTGTTAAAGATAGACTGCCAGGAGGGGGGAAATGGGGCCATCATTCTCCTCATAAACCTAAAGCACTGATCAGAATGGATGAATTAATAGGCAGCTCTAAATAGTAAGGCTCAGTTCAGACGGCTTTAAAAAAAAAAAGTCAGCTTTAATCTGATTAACTGTTGGTCTTATGTGCCCCCTGACTCCTCTGTTTGCACAGCACACCATCGTGGAAACAAATAGTAACAGTCAAAGAATTCTGCCATTCGTCCTGGCATGACATATGGGAGAATGAATGAGGGGGGTACACAAGACTGGCAATTAACCAGGTTCATGCTCATCACAAACTCCGGTTTGTTCATGAGTTCTCAACTGGAGATTGGCTTTGGACTAAGAACAGAACCAATCCAGTGAGTGAACCTGAACCTGGAGATTAGAAAGTTGATTTAAGGTTTGAAATTAAAAAATGGGCTTCTCAAATTATTCTCTTTTTTGTCCCAAATGGCTACTGGTTACAAATAGATAGGCTGTCAACCAGCTTGATGTCCAATGGCTCATTCATAACCTGTAGAGTAACCAACAGACATTTGTTGGTTCAAATGAAAATCCATCATTTATTTTATTTACTTTGTTTATAGTCTGCCTTTTTCACTAGAACTCAAGACAGATCACACTGAATAAATCAATACAATAGGATACCCAATAGACCATGCAATAGGATTTGACTTGTGGTAATCTGGAACCAACCAGAAATCTGAAACACAGCATGTCTTTTTATTTCTGAAATTTTAATGTGGTGGCCCTTAGTGATAACAGTTCTTTCCTCCCCTAGCCTTGTATATTTGCACTATGATAATTCTCACAGATTTACATTTAAGATGCTGACCAGGTTTTCATACATTTTCATTGGGCACATTTGTGAAAATTATCAATGCAAGATCTAGAATTAATCTTAAATCAAATGTACATTTTAGCCAATGTAGATTTTGCATTCACATTGCAGATGGAAGAAATACAAAAACCAACTTCAGCCTATCATGTGAAAATGCTTCACGGCATAGTACACACAGGAGATGGGTTAGATTAGGAAAGAGACAAATTGGAGCATGTGGAATGTTTTATGATTTCCATGGAAATGACCTCAAGGAAGCAAAAAGCTTGTAAAAAAATTAGAACACCAATGGCCATCAATGTAATGGACAGCACATACCCTGCACAGATGCCCACATTGCAATGGGAATGGGTTGGCTTGACTCAATAAAGAATACTGTCTGAGAGGAGTATCAGGCAAGCTCATGCTTCCTGTGCTGGCTCATCTTTAGTGAAAAGCCAATGTGAGATAACCAATTTTCTCCCACCTACCTCCACTCTTAGATCCAGAACCCATCCTGGATTGGCAACAATGGTGCTGCCTCACCTGTGCCTGCCTGCGTTGTGCCATGTGACTCGGTGCCTTCTTGCATGTCCCCCCATGCTCATCCCCACACAACAGGAGGAGTCTCCGAATTCCTGAGCGTCTCTGGTCCCAGCAGCCACGTGGGGCAGACTCACATGGGCAGCCTCTTTGGCAGCACTGGCATCAGCCCAGGCATCAATGGCTATGAGCTGAACGGTGAGCCTGACCGGAAGTCCTCCAGCATTGCAGCCCTGCGGATGAAAGCAAAGGAGCACAGTGCGGCCATATCGTGGGCAACATGACAGGGCTACGGCCATTGTCCTCGAGACACTGACAAAGGAAACAGAACAGATGAACCAATCCATCCACTCTTGGACTCTGGACAGCCAGTTCCCTCCTCAGACATTGGAATGCAGCACTTTTAGCTACCCTAGGCATCACAGCATTACATATATTACCATACATGGAGTGTTTTAAGCATTTGAGGGTTTGTGGGTTCCTGAGACCAGGCATGTGTAAAGAGATATTGGGAGTTTCAAATGCAGCAGACAAACTTGATTTTACTGTTCATGTGGTGTGTTTCCCTTATGCTGTCATTCTTCTGCTTGCTAAAGACAAAGACTATGTTGTGTCCCTTGTCTTTTATAACATCCAACTTTTATGTCTAAAAAAAAAGGCAGTTCAAACCAGAGGTTTCAGCTGGTTGCTCCACACATGACCCATCTCCATAATATTTATGCTGATATTTCAGACAAGAGTTCTGATGCCGAATACCTGAAAAAGGTGGTTGCCACTGCTGAAAGCCAATTCCAGACTGAAATGTGCATGTGGTGTGTTGTAAGGCATGCTGATCTGGTATATGGGATACCCTTAAGCCATATGGTAGGGCTACCAGGCTTCGACCTAGAGATTGCCTAGCTCCTCAATTCTCCACTAAGCTGAGAGACAAGGACTTTGTGTCTTTGCAGGCTCCTTTAAGCTTTCTCCTTCCCCCTCTAATGAACAGGGCTTCACGTCTGATACACAGCAGGAAAAGGTGGACCAAGGGGAAAGTGGCTGGAAAAAGCCCAAGGCACACTGTCTCTTGATTCAGCACAGACTGACAGGTGCAGGTGGAATCATCAACTTGGCAGCTGTACCACACAAGGATCCTGTGCTGATCCTAACTAGGTCTAGAAGAATGGTGCAATCCAAAGCATTGGTAGGACAAGCCCCTGCATGAACTGGTATTTCTTCCTTGCAGTATTTTCTCGCACATGCATAGTTTTGTTTAAGGCTATTGGCACTAAATCAGCTGTGGGAAAAGTTGCCACCGGTTGAATGTGGCTTAATAGGTTCGGCTGTTGGCTTGAGTGAAAAGCCAACTGGGAGAAGGCCATGGACTATGGCAGAGGAGGAACTATTTCCCATCTCTTCCTGCCCAGATCCCCTTTGGTGTTACACCTAACTGGAAAGAAGGTCAAGATATGTGTTTTTTCTCTTCCTAGATAGCTATTTTATGCACAAACCTCTGGCCAATAAGGGAAAGTCTCCATGATTATCAGCATAAAGGCTTTCTTCAATTAAAGTACTATATCCCCACAGCTGTTGCTAATAGGGGGAGGCTTGGGACACTGTCTTCCTGGAGTATTTATTAAACTGTTTCTCCCTGAAACACTAGCTCTTCCTTCCCAAGGTCTACAGTGGGTGCCAGAGAGATTTTTGGGGAAATAAAGCTTAAGGTGATTTCCTTCATTGGAAATGTTTTCAGCTGAAAGCCTTTTGCAGATACAGACTCATCTCTTGTCACTCCTGTTCATCTGAGAGATGGCAGCATCCTGTATCCCCTGTGCCTGTCTGCCTTATAGTTGGATCAAAGAGGATTTTTTTCGAGTCAGATGAGCAGACATTTAACAGTGTTTGGGTTTTGCGGTTTCTTAAGCACAGAGCTACATCCACAGAGGAGAGAAAGAATGAGGCTCTAACTATCCATCTTGTTTTAAAGAGGTGTTTATTGAAGTGGAAGCTACTGGTCTCCCTTCCTTAAATAAGCAGCTGCCATGAAGGCTCTGAAATTCACCCAGATCCATCAGTTGGACTTCAGCACCAAAGTAAGCCTAATCTGAGTTGTGCCTTGGGTACAAACCCCCCCCCCCACCTTCTGGCTTGCATGCGGCCCTGGAACTATTACCATTTATATACACCCCCACCTGGAATGGGAAGGATACTTACGGGAATTCCTACAAAAGGATGAGTTCACAAACAACGGGGGCAGTCTAGCCTCCTGTACACACAATTTCTGAAAAGGAGAACAGTGGAGGAACTGAATGGAATAAAATGTGGAAGCACCCTATATCTAAGGGAGAAGTGAGAGAAGAAAGGATACCATTTAGGAATGTTAGGTACATGCCCACCTTCCTGCACATGTGATTATTCCACAGGTGTACCTGTACTGATGGCCAACCTCCAAGTTGCTAATATTGAAACATCATTGTGAAAAAGTGTGCCTTTGCTAATGAAGAGGCCCTAGAGCATTTCTTCTGTTATGATGTGATTTTTCTCAGAGTGACAGTGTCACATGCACCACCAAAGAAATGTCTGTGACACTGGCACAACCCCATTTCACAGTACTCATAATCAATGTGATAGTTTTGGATCAACTAGTCCACACAGTATAATGGTCTGGCCTCCCTCCAACTACAGTCCCAAATACCTCCAGAAATACTGCTTCTGGGAGATGGGGAAGGGGAATAGCATGGGGGAATTAGCATAAAGTGCCCCCCTTCTGTCCACAATCCCCCATTGGGTCATATATTTTAAACGTTAAGAAACCAAAGTTCCATCCTTACATAGTGGATGGTATTGGTAAAATCTCTGAATGGAGGTAGTCTTGCTTTAGTGTCAAAATGAAAGGGTAGCCTGGTAAGTTATAGCTAGATGAGAATTTTCAGGCAAGAACATAATGTGTGTGCACAAGTAATATTATCCATGCCTACTCATTTTGTGTGTGCGTTCCTAAGTGTGCTTACCTAGGAAAATACATTTTGTATGCATGCCAACCATGCTAGCTGTTGATTACAGCTAAGAATGACATCTCTTGGGGTGGGGATTGCTCATGTCAGCCAGATATCAGTGAGCAACAGCAACATACTCTAGCCAATGTGCTTCCAGATTACAAAGGGTTACTGGTAGCAACACAAGAAAGAGTATATGTTTTTCATGTTGTTGCTGCCGTAGCATTCCAAAGCTTAATCAGTAGTCTACCAAATTGCCATGTGGTTTCAACCAGGTTAAGTAGTACATAATTATTTGATTACAACAAACCCAGTCATGCTGGCTACATAACACATACACAAGTATGCATTAGTGTACACTTAGTACTGCATATGAAGAATGGTTGCAAAAGCAATGTACAGAAACAGTATTTGAACTGTACTTTGTGTAAGAACAGGTTCTCTTGATTACTTTATCACCTGCTGAAGTTTACTTGATAACAGACTTGCATGTGAATGATTCAGTACATATATTTTTAGTACATAACGCAACAAAGCCTACTTCAAATGGTGTTTCAAGGTGCTTGGAGTAGTGTTCTGACCCATGCGTCAAACCATTCACAGACTCGGCACAAAGTCTTTTCACATTCAGGCAGAGCTAAACACAGATCAGCAGCTAAATAAGACTAGTGTGTGAAGTTGTGACCCTCACCTCATCCCATGTTATGCCTCTCACCATCATTGTACAGCCTCATGGTTGCTACTGAAGTGGGTCAGAAGATAACATAAAATAACATAAGTAAACATGCCAAAATATTACAGGGAGAGCGTAGAAAACTTAACGCAGGGCTGCTGTTTTAGTGGCAGTCATGCACTGGACATACCTGTTTTGAAGCTATCGTTAAACATGCAAAAAATGCTTGCTGTAATGCATCCTAGGCCAGAGACTGTCATCAATGGCAGTAAAGTTTCTCACGTTCTTTGAAATGAAGTCCTTCTGCCTATGTTTTTGCATGACTGAAATGTATTATCCATGCCAGTCCGCTCCCCAGTACACACATGATGTACCATGCAAACAAAAGAGTAGTAACGAGTGTGGTGTGGATTACAGAGAGTGTATGCTCTGTATATGCATCAGTAAATAGCCCTCCAGTGCTAATTCAAAAACTATGGCCTTTCTCATCCTGTGAAACTAAAGGCTGAGCAGAGTTGTACAGTGTGCTATGTACACACCATATATTTTTGTGAATGATATTCCTACATCCGTTTTTGGTGGCTATTCTTCATCTCAGAGTACACCAAGATTTCACAGTATGTTGTAAAATGCTTCAAAAACAAACAATGGAGGAAAAGGTAGTTTCCTGGAAACGGACTGAAAAATAATCAGGCAGACGCAGCAGCTGAGAGCTGTGTTTATTTTGCTGCTTTGACTGACACAGTGAAAAAGCAAACACTTGGAATTAAAAAATTAAGCCCAAATGGGAACTGGGGCAGAGTTAGGCTGAACAGATGAAAGTCTTTTAACTGCTTTCAGCTTTACAGATGGCATTGCAGGAAAGCCAGCGTATGATCCATCTCCCCTCCCATTCTTAATGGCAGATCATAGGTGATGTTTTACCCAGCCCTCTTTCCACACACACACATATAGTGCTAGGACTTTTATACTACTGATGTTGAAGGATGGTTTTCAATGTATAATAATATATCAGGTTTTTTGGGGTGTGCAGTGTTTGAAAGTGAGAATGGGAGAAAGATTGCAAAGAAAACAAACCTCAGTCAATATTATTGTTGTAAAATATTGTAACCTTGTATAAAAGCATTTTTTTTCCTTTAGCTTAATGGCCTGGGGCAGAATATATTAAAAATATACAGTTAAAAGGAAAAAAACTTCAAGAACATGAGAATGGAATGGGGGGAGAAACCCATCAAAATTGCCGTGTGATGTTGTGCCATACAATTTTACTGCCTATACAGATATGTATTGCAAATTCATTACATTGTAATATTAAAAAAAAGAACAAACCGCTCTGCATCTTGTTTCCCCCTCACTTTTGCTGAAACTAAGGTATTGCACTTAAAGCTTGTCTTCCCTGTCCCCTTTATGAGTGTCAGAGAGGTGAAAATTTTAGTGCCATAAACAAACAGAAGAAAAAGTTCTTCTCTACCCAGCAAAACACACTTCAAACTCTGCTTTAGGAGACCCAAATTTACACTGTAATTCTTAGCGGCAATAAAATGTCTCTTCTCTACTCCCAACTGAAATCTGTCTATTTTGTTCCTGACTCATGACAGATGAAATGTGATCGGAGGGGGCCTCCAAAATCTCACATTAATTGAAGCTGGCAAAAAATACTAACAGTGCCCTTTTGAACCGCTGACACAGAGCAGAGTGGATTAAACAAGGCTAGATTAACAACATGTGGCAGCTCACAGCCCCACTGCCTCTAGAGAGTCTTAGCAGCC